ACCATGGACTACTATATAGCCATTAAAAAAAAAGAGAGAGAGAGAGATCATGTCCTCTGCAGGAACATGGATGGAGCTAGAGGCCATTATCCTTAGCAAACTAATGCAGGAACACAAAACCAAATACCACATGCTCTTTCTTATAAGTGGGAGCTAAATGATGAGAACACGTGGACACATAGAGGAGAACAACAGACACTGAGGCCTACTGGAGTGTGGAGGGTGGGAGGAGGGAGAGGAACATGAAAAACAACTATTGAGTACTAGGCTTAATATCTGAGTGACAAAATAATCTGTATAATAAACCCCCAAGACACAAGTTTACTTATATAACAAATCTTCACGGGTACCCTTAAACTTAAAATAAAAGTTAAAAAAAAAAAAGGATAATATGTTGCTTTACAGATTTCTATGATTTTAGGAATGGGAATATTTTCAAAATCTCTGTGTTAGTAAAGTCCCTAAAAATTCAAAACATGTGCCATTTAAAGATGAGCTTCATGGAAATAAATTTGTCCTAGAATAAAATAAAAATGGGAACTATTAATGCATAAAAAATCAATGCCTGCAGATTTTGAAAATTATAATTTTCCAAGTAAATAATTTTCATTTTGCAAAAACAAATAAAACTTCAAAAAGAACCATCTTATTCTGGATAATCCATTATTATTGAAACACTTCTTTTTTTTTTTTTTTTTTTTTGAGACAGTCTCACTCTGTCGCCCAGGTTGTAGTGCAGTGGTGTGATCTCGGCTCACTGCAACCTCCGCCTCCTGGATGCAAGCAATTCTCTGCCTCAGCCTCTCGAGTAGCTAGTATTACAGGCGCCTGCCACCACGCCCGGCTAATTTTTTGTATTTTTAGTAGAGACAGGGTTTCACCATCTTGGCCAGGCTGGTCTTGAACTCCTGACCTCATAATCCACCTGCCTCAGCCTCCCAAAGTGCTGGGATTACAGGTATGCGCCTGGCCGGTTGGAACACTTACCTTCAATCAAAATTCTTCATATTTTAAGTTTAGTATTTGTATTTTTATCCACACTAGGTCCCTTTACTTCTAAAAAAGCTAGAAGACTAGGGTACTACCCTGTTCTAGGTGATAAGTAACTTGGTCATCACTGGAAAACTGCCTAAGCTCCAAGTTACTTTACCTTTGTGCTTCAAGGTTCCCTTCACTCCTCTACAATATAAGATGGTGTGACTAACCATTTTAATGAATGTATTTCATATTAAATTTTATATTCCCTTTAAAAAATCACTAATTCAAACACATGCAATTATAATTTATTAATATAAAAATATAGATATTAAGGCTGAGGCAGCAGAATCACTTAAGGCCAGGAGTCTGAGACCAGCCTGGGCAACCAAGTCAGATGCTGTTTCTAAAATAAATAGATAAATAAATAAATAAATAATAGAGATACTAGGCTAGGATGTAAAATAATAGTGCTTTAACGATATCTGCCCGAACATGTGTATGTGTGCATATAAATCCTTAGAATAACCTTTTGAGACAGATATTATCCATACTTTATACATCAGGAAACAGGCAAAGCCACACAATTAATTCAGAAAAGGTTTCTGTTCTAACTGAAGTCCCCAAATTACAAATGGGCTGCCCAAAAAAACTGATATAAAATGTAGGTAAGTTTTCAAATCAAATCACAAAAGAGCAACTTAGTATATATCTAGTATAGTGGTTAAGACTGCCCAGGTTTGAGTCTCAGTTTTGATACTGAGATTCAGTACAAACCATGTAATATAGGGTAAGGTACTTCACAGTTCTGTGCCTTATTTTCTTCATGTGTTAAATAGTGAAGACAGCATGTACCTCACAAGATTATAGTGAAGATTAAATAAATTATATGTACAGAGCTTAGAAACAGGTGTGGTACATAGTAAATATGCAATAAATATTAACCAGCAGTACCCACCGTAGAAAGAGTATCTCTGTTGAGTCCATAAATGAACTACACATTGTAACAATGACTGAACAGATCTGGGAACATTTTAATTTTCTTCTTTTTGTATAAATGATATCAGAATCTTGTAAGAAGTGTAAATTACACAGAATTTGGTATATAAAGATAGCTTATAGTAAGCACATTTTTTTACAGAACTGGAATGCATTCAGAATAGAAGGCCCTTAGTTGAGTATGAAAATGGGTTGTCTGTAAAACAGTTGATGGTGTGTTTGGCCTACGATGAGAAGGAAAAATGATTCCTGTCTAAACATTTAAATATTTGTCTATGAAAGCTGTCCACTTACTATTTCCCCACAAGACAGAGAATTAGAACCAATGAGTAAAAAGGTAGTAAGGGCAAAATTTTTGTCACAACATAAATTCCTTATGTTTTGGGTTATCTAACAATAAAATGGCTTGTCTTAAAATGTAATAAAGTCTCGTCTCTGGAAGCACTTATACAAAAGACAGATTACAATTTGTTAGAGATACTATATAACAGACTCTTAAACATTACAGCAGGTTGTACTAAGATACTGAAATATTCGGCTGGGCACGGTGGTTTATGTCTGTAATCCCAGCACTTTGGGAGGCCAAGGCAGGTGGATAACGAGGTCAAGAGATCAAGACCATCCATGCTGAAACCCCGTCTCCACTAAAAATACAAAAATTAGGTGGGCATGGTGGTGCACGTCTGTAGTCCCGGCTATTCAGGAAGCTGAGCAGGCAAATCGCTTGAACCCAGGAGGCAGAGGTTACTGTTAGCCGAGATAGCGCCACTGCACTCCAGCCTGGTGATAGAGCAAGACTCTGTCTCAAAAAAAAAAAAAAGATATATCCATTGATCTGACAGTCTGTGAATTTGTAAAAATACTACATAACACTGTTCTTAAGGAAAAGATTATATCCTCAGTTTCAATAATGATTACAGGAATATAAGAAATGAGAAAATGGTTAAGAACCAGGGCTCTGAGGTCAGAATGCCTGGGTTAAAATCCTGTGGTTGCTACTCATTGGTATGGTCTTGATTATATACTTACTTAACATCTCTGTGCTACAGTTTCCTTAGCCACAAATTGAGGATTACTGTAAAAACAAAGCCTATATAGTGCTTAGGTTGACGCTTAAAATGTAATAAGGGCTCAGTAATATTACAAGTCAGGGCTCAGCTAAGTAGCCAGTATTTCTGCTCATTTAATCTTCCCAAGAACTCATAA